CTACTAGCCATGGCCTCCAACCTACTAGCGATGGCCTCCAACCTACTGGCCATGGCCTCCAACCTAAGTGGATTAGTAGATGCCGTTACAGTAGTTAAGCCGCGGCTCAAATCGCAAAATCGCAGCGGCCTCTAAGACCTGGAGACGCACTTCTCTTTGGAGGCCATGCCGGACAATCCTGATCATCTCTATATCCTCAACGTCCTTTCAAGATGAAGGCAACAAACGGAATTTAAAGCAAACAAATCAAAATGAGCTAAAAATCAATGCAACTGAACGGTCAAATGCAATCGTCTCTCGTTCGTCTCCTCCACCACGTCATGAACGGTTGCGGTGTAGCGCACCTTCCAGCGGCAAGTTGTCTGATGTTTTAGACTTTCTTGCCGCGAGTTTTGAAACTGAACATAGGAGCACACAAAGGAGAAACATGCACTTCTCTAGGGGCAAAAAGAAATCCTTTCCATGTGTTTAAATGGTTAACAGGCCAGAAATCAGGCTGCGCCATGCTGCGCCGCTGGTCTGCTGCTCTTCTCTTAGTTAATGATGTCTGCTGCTCATCTGCTTTCACAGTTCGAGTGAAGGTGCGGTTCCTTCTTCCGCACTAACGAGCAGCTCTGCTTCTCCCTTCGTCTTATACAGCTGTACACGCTTGTACAGCTGTACATGCTGCTTTTTGTATCCTACCAAAGGATATCCTTCCACACATTGAGCTATTCTCAACTGAGCGATGCTGAGCGTATTGTCCCACACCTAGGCCGATTGGATCCTGTTTCACTTCAATCTGAATCTGGGTGTTTGCAATACTTGTTATATAGAATCAGAATCAAGGGATTCTGGTCATGTACGCACTTGCGCTGCCTCTGAAATTAGGATAAATCTTGGCCAACTTGAAGTAAATGTCGCTTTAGGGTGGAGGCCATTAGTAACAGGTGCATCGTTATCAGTAACAGGTCGCTCTTAGGTTCCTTTTGCTATTAGCAAATGTCTCTGTTTAAATCGTTCACTCGATGATTCTTTCACCTGCTTCGTTTGTTCGGTGACTCCGACGGTCCGGCTCATTCTATCCGACTGAGTGCTACCATAGACCCAGCTGTCTTCTTTTGGGTTGGATATTCTTCCTTGGGAATGTTATGCTGGTTTCTATGTGAAGAGGATGGACAGACAATTGGTACGATAACAAAACTTAAGTGAAGACCAATCAAAGCCGGTGCATCAATGACTGCCGTCAGCCGTTAGGATTGTCAAACCCAAAAAAGTCATTGGTTGATCTGAGGCACAAAAGCAGGACATCGATTGTCAATGTTAACTCCTCGCAGAGAACGCTCCAACTCGCGGATTCTCCACTCCTAAGGCGAAAGCGGCGAAAGCGGCGAAAGCAATCAGAGACAAATCTAGTAGTAAGAATGCTCCTAGCAGCGATGCCAGGAGCCCCTAGTAGCGTCCTTGCTCCTAGTAGTAACGCCAAGGAGCCCCTAGTAGCTTCTTAGGCTCACACCCTTCCGGCTTTTTCGTCCGTGGGACATTTGCAGTCGACAGCGTCATAAGCACTCGGCTTGAGTCGCACCCTTGCCTGATTTGCTCAGCAAAAAGGCAGCACAAACACGGGTGACATCAGCCACAAGCACATGCACACCTCCTCTTTCTCTGCAAGGTCCAGTGCTTTCTCTTTGTCGCTCATGCCAAACAGAACAAAGATCTCATCTTCGTCCACACTTTTGAATTCAGTCACCTGAGTAAATTCACTCCGAGACTCATGGCATTTCTCGAAGATCACAGCTTTGCTCCCAGCCTCACATCCCATCTCACCTGGAAAGCGAGCAAATGAGAAATGACTCACATGAGAAATGGCCTCCAACCAAGAAGCGATGCCCTCCAACCTACTAGCGATGGCCTCCAACCTAATAGCGATGGCCTCCAACCTAATAGGGATGGCCTCCAACCTAATAGCGATGGCCTCCAACCTACTAGCGATCGCCTCCAACCTAAGAGTGATGGCCTCCAACCTAAGAGACATGACCTCAAACCTAATAGCAATGGCCTCCAACCTACTAGCGATGGCCCCTAACCTAAGAGCGATGGCCTCCAACCTACTAGCGATGACCTCCATCCTAATAGCGATGGCCTCCAACCTACTAGCGATGGCCTCCAACCCAATAGCGATGGCCTCCAACCTACTAGCGATGGCCTCCAACCCAATAGCGATGGCCTCTAACCTACTAGCGATGGCCTCCATCCTAATAGCGATGGCCTCCAACCTACTAGCAATGGTCTCCAACCAAATAGCGATGGCCTCCAACCTATACTAGCGATGGCCTCCAACCTAATATCGATGGCCTCCAACCTACTAACGATGGCCTTGGCCTCCAACCTACTAACGATGGCCTCAAACTAAATAGCACCGACTGACATGAGAAACTTCAAGGTTTGCCCAGAATGGAAAGTCATTTCATGATGTTTATTTTGTCTGAGATTGCAACGAATGTATTGCTTCACATTCTGTCTCACTCTTGCAGTGAAATCCTTTTCACTGTGGAACTGTTTCAGGCCGTTGCGTTGGCTTTCAGAATCTTCAAGGGTCAAAAGCAGCATAATCTCAGTTCGTACAAATGGTTTTCCAAAAAAGGGAAACAAAGGAAAAAGAAAAAGGCTGTCCTCCCACGTCATTCCTGGCTTCAAATCAGAAGGGCTGTTCTCTTCAGTTGGAAAAAGCTCCTGACAGCAACAAGCTTCTTCAGTTCTCATCCATGGCGCTAGTCAGCCACTATCTTTATCTGACTCTGGCAAGAAAAGCTCGGAAGCCACAAATCGTGCCAAAGTCCATCACTGCGATGCCTTCCACTTGGAGGCTGGATCATCAAGCTTCTGGTCAAACGTCTCGTCATTTTCACCTCCCACTCGATAGCTCATTCAGAAGGGACAAATGACAAATCTGTCAAGAAAACAATGTGATCCAAGCACACGTCAAGGAACTCATATTCACAGAGCAACACCCGGCCTTGTACTCGGATCGGAAAAACCAGTGCCTTTGCTCTGCACTTGAAGGAGCTCTCACTCGCAGCACGCTTGTTTCCCAGGTCCCCCGACGTAATGCCACGGCCTCAGGGTCACAAGCCATCACAAAGATCGGTGTTGCGTGAATTCCACGAAGGAAGTGAATGAAGTCTGAGCCAGCAGCCCATCATTTTTCACAACGTCAGCACCAAGGACCCGGATGGTTCCTCCAATGCGCCCAAAGCACTCAAGGTTTGCCCTCAGGAAATGATATGTCGAGCCCCACCAAAGCGAACTCGACATCGCAGTTCGCTCGGACGCGCACCTGCTCCACTTGCATGATCAGTTCTCTGTTTGACCAAGCCATGGCGAAGGGACCGATGTTTGCTTCGGTGAAAGCCTCCAACCTAAGAGCATCCGATCGCTCCGTTGGTAGTAAGGCCAGGAGCATCCAACCTAAGTCTTTTGGATGTTTCAAGGTCAAATATTCCTTCTTGGGAGGGGTGTATTACGCGCAAATGAGACAGGAGTTGTGACAAAATCCTGACTCTTGAAGCAGGAATGAAACTACTGCCAATATCCTCTAGTAGCGTCCGATCGCTCCGTTCGTAGCGATGCCCTTTGTTCCTAGTAGTTTCTTGTTCCTAGTAGTAAGGCCAGGAGGCAAAATGAGTTGCCTAAGTTACAAAAAGTAACCAAGTCGTCTTGTCTTGTCGGAGCTGAGGAATGCTGGACGGCGGTTGGGTGTCGCCACATGATCATGGCGGTTGGATATCACTCAATACCCTCGTGGCACTTTTGATAATAGAAAATCGAGTAAAAGTCTGGTGGAGCAATGTCCATCACACCTTGGTGTGCCGGACCCCGATGTAAAACTTTTGAGACATCACACCAAAGCGGCAGCGCCCGGAATTCTGTAACCAATGTACTATCTCTCACGCGTTTTTGTTTGTACCGGAATTATGCCGGCACATTCAAAAAAACACGAAGGAAAAAATAAACGAGTGCATTGTACATGTTGTGATGTGTTTCTTCCAAACTCAGTACTGCCTTCAAGCCCGAAGCCTTAATGAAGTGCATTCTGTTTAGAAAGCATATTTGACAGTAATGGTTCTGAACATCAATGACACGAACAAACCATGTCAACTGCTCATTTGATGCCTTGTCTCCAAACCAACTATAGTGGTACAATTCTTTGGTTTGTTTACATTATCTGCCTTGGGGCACCCTGTCACAAGTTTCATTGAGGTTTGTTTCAATCAACAACTCTGGTTTAAAAAATGCGGAAACTGGTAACGGGCAACTGAACCTCTTTTCTCGCGACCGAGACGAAAGCTCAAGTGAAACACAAACAAAGTCGAAATGTTCCATGGTATATCTTCTCCGATTTGCGCGTGTCTTCCGAAGCTCTGGCGATAGCGGGCCGATCAGACACTTGGCACCTGACAATGCTTGGCTCTTTGTCTTTGAACCGGCTGAAGTGAAAATGCATAATGCAACAAACATCAAGCGTCATCGAAATCCAAGGGAAATCTCACACTCGTAACTTTTTTTTGTTGATTTTGTTGCTTTTGCGCATCAAGAACAATCTTGCGAGCTTGCCGCTGCAATCGTTTCTTTTCCTTCAACTGTCTGTTTTCTTCTGTCTGCACCAATGTCATCATGCCGCTCCTCAGAAACTCTTGCAAAACAGTCTTATCTGTATTGGCCTTGGTCAACACATTTGCAATGTTCTGCATCCCGTCAATCCAACGAACCTTTGCGTTCGGCTGTCGAACTGTTTCTCTGAGTAAAGCGCCCTCTATGGCCATTCGTTTATCCGTTGAAATGCTTGTTGCATCCTTCTGAAGGTAATCGAAAACGGATTTGGCATCAGTCACATAAACACGCTACCGCTTGTGAATAATGGATGGCCAATCCTTCAAATTCAACTCACCTGAAAGTGCTTCCTCAAGCAAACAACAACACCAATCTCCTGCCTCAACTGCCTCCGCAAGGTGTGAAGCTTCTGCTGCCAATGTGGAACGACACACGCGTTTTGTTTGACTGCTATGGAAGGCAAGGATCACTGCTTTGGCTGGTTTGTCTTCAAGGATCTCTGGGTTGGACAAAAGCAAGAAATATCCTCCAACACTCCGATACCGCAGAATGCCATCCTTCTCCGGTGTCCCATTTGCATGACCGGAATCTGCAAGATGTATGAGAACACCATTCCGCAAGTCAACATCGCTCCAGTAGCGCATCCTGAAGTCTGCACCTCTTCTGGCGCTTGCAAGATATTGTTTTAAACGAATCAAGTCCTCAACACACGCAGTCGACTTGGCACGCTGAATGACCCCGTTCTCAAAGCACAGGTCACAACGCAGTTGCCTTGTCAACCAACCAAGCTCTCCAGCACCTGATTGAAACGCCTGAAATTCCTCCTCCGTCAGCGGACTGTCAGGCTGCTTCCTCCGGTGGGCATCAACTTTAATGCTCCTGGTGCTTAGAGAGTAGTTTCTCATCGAAACATCTATATGGTTCTCCTTGTGTTGCTTGATCTCGCGGCCTCGGAAAACAAACTCTCGAAAATGGTTTGTAGCGAACTCCAATGCTTTGCTTGAATGTTGACACGCTGATTCAATGCTGTCCGGGTGAACACCACCCTCAACATCATCAACATGTGTCACAAGAATGCCACGCAATTGATTGTTGTCACCACGCAAGAAAAACAATGCAGGTTCTAAACGACTTTCAGTCCAGCCATCGGACTCCAAATAACCCTTCAAGGCTACCCAGAACATGCGTGCCGCTTCACTGAATCCATAGATTGCTTTCTTTGCCTTAAGCAACTGCGTCGGCTTCAGATTTCCAAGTCCACCCTTCGGCGGAGAGAGGTAGATCTCTCGATCAAGCGACCGTCCAGAAAAATATGCATTCTTGACGTCCTTGCTGATCATTGTGAAATTCAGAAATGCCGAAACTGCAAGACAAATGGATTCTGCCAACGCACTCGCTGTGGGTGCATCACGTCTGTAAAAACCCAAAGACTTGTCTTTGAATCCCTGCGCCACAAGGCGTGACTTGGCAACAAACGACTGACCTTCAAGCCCTTCTGCTTTGTTTGTACGAACCCAACGTGTTGGAATCACAAGATCCGGATGGTCTGATCGAATTTTCCTGCTAGTGACATCATCAAGTATTTCTATTGCACCCTTATCAATCCAAGCATGCCATTCGCGTTCATCTGAACCGCCTGGTCCAATAAACAACTGTTGAAGCTCCTCCGACAGATCTTTCAGGAAAATTTCCTTTCTCCCACGCTTCTTCGTCGAAGCTGTGCCTTGCACCACACCTAAAGCTGCATCATACATTGCACAGTATTTGTCATCGAAAACGTTTCGCTCAAAAGCAAATCGAAAGTCTTTCCAAGAAACATTCAACTCTGCATATGCTGTGGCGTGTCTCCAATAACTGTGCTCTGCTGCACGCAACAAATAACCTGGCTGTTCAACCACGGCATAGGCAAACAACGAA